AGCAGGAATTTCCCTTTTCTGTACAGGATTTGGGATCATTCACCTGGGCTGCCTAAAGCAGTTTACAGATGCTTCACTCTGGTTATGGATTCCATACTGTGTCCCTAAAATTTAGGCCCTTCAGCTTAATCTGCCCATCTCTGTGTCTTCACCTGTACCTCACTTTTGTGGAAGCTGCAACAGAAGGTGTAAGAGAAGAGAGAATGTAGGAAGCTGACAAGCAGTTTCACCATCTTTTGTCCAGAGCTCTAGGACTCAAATTATCACAGACTTGCTACCTCAGGTGAGGGAAGTCACCTCCTTAAGAACTGTGTGCCTAGTCTGCAACCAGGGGATATCACTTAAAGAAATGCTGAGTGTTCTTAAAGTTAAGTATTTGTACGTACTTGGAACATACACAGTGCTGCATGTGGAGAGCTGATGCACCACCCCACCCAAAATACTTACTGTTTGGTGTTTCAAATGGGTCGCGCAAATTTGCAACTTACCAGCTTATGACTGCCCTTGGTAGCTCCCCAGCATACAAAATAGGGATAAAACCACCCCCCATTTCAGAGGTAAATCAATTCATTACAGGTTAATTACTTGTTCTGGACCTCTCAGTAATGAGCCCATGAACGAATGTATAACACTGTCCTCAAGCGTGACTAGCGTGAGGTATACAACGCAGAGAGCCATGCTGCAGCTTTGCAAGTAGGAAACAGAATACTTAAGACTTGTTTGTTAAATTAGTGTCATCTGTTACATGCCCTACTGAAGGGGGGAAGCCTTCAGAAAAATTGTTATGTAACTTCATGATCAAATAATTAAAGACTGCACTGTAATCTACACCTACCAGGATGGGGAATTCAGGCTGTAAAGGCAACCATCCATTTGGCTTCATACTGTTGCCTTAGCCACCTTAAACATAATCTCTTAACTTAATCTATATGCAAATTACACATACAAAAGGACTATCAGCAGTACAGCACACAGCAAGAGTAAGCATTAACTTGTAAGCAAACGCATATCAGTTCTATGCTACTATTATCCAGATATTGTACATGAAACAAAACCAAACTCACATCTCTCATCATTTTCACTGCTTCCCTGGTCCTTCCCAGCTTTCTTGCACACATTGCCAGCCTCCTCTTAATGTAAACTAACACATTGGTGTCCCTTCCTGTGTAAGGTAAAAAAGAAACAAAATTAAGATGGAATAGATAGAAAAAAGGTCAATTTCATACTATGACACAAAAGAAAGCATAGCTTTCTTGACTTTTTTGTGATTCTCCATTATCATTGTTTTCATAATTGTAATTAAAAAATTACAAATTCTAACAATTTAGGTGTGGCATAATGCCACTGAAATCAGTGGAATCACTCCAGGTATAGAGGGGTATAAAGGAGGATCCATAGTTTGCCCTTACAGCTACGAAATATAGGAAGATCAGAAGGTACAGAGAATGCCATAGGACAGAGTATCAAGTAATCAATCAGACAAGGGGAACCCTTAAAAAGTAACACCCACACAAAACTGTAGGTCATCCACATAGCATTACGTTACTTACCGATTCCCACACTCAGAAGAGACAAGAGCATCTATGAAGAGGCATGTTACGTTCTGCCTTAACCTTGTGGTAAGTTATGGTATATGTTCTTGTTGTTACAAGATGCAGCAAAACAAATCCCCAACTCTACTCTGAGTAACAGTCTTTTCATTTATGATTAGAAGACAGGTACTACACCCTGAACTTCCCTTTTACAGAGCCATTACTCGTGACACAATTATCATGTTCAGATTCCTAACACAATTAATTATGAACAGCAAATTAACAGGTTTCAGATACGACAGTCTTGTGGACTAGGAGATAGAAAAGAGGACAGACACTCAACAGCTGCAGCAATAGCGTTCTTGGAGAATCCTTACTCTTTTTGCAATCCTTGATTTCTCATTCTCCCTATAATCATAATGCAAACTTTTAAGGTGCTTCTGGACCAACAAGAAAGATGCAGGCAGCTAATCATCTATAAAATTACCATAACAGGAAAACACCTGCTACGAATTATCTTTGTGTATAATATGCAGTCAGTAAAGATTTTGGTCTGTGCCCCTAACATTTTCAAGTCTTTCTTAATAAGAACAAGATGTGCACTGAAAATATTCCAAGTACCTACAAATTGTTTTAAAGCTGTGATTGAAATTTTCAGAGAGATTAAGCAGCAGGTTGAAAGGTCTGACTTTAGGAGAAAAATTAAATAAGACAGAGAAGGAATTTCTTCAGCTCTATTTTATATTATGTAATTCCTTATCTCTGTACTGATTCCTATATATTTAATAAATGATTTATTAGCTACATCTGTTTTCAACATCTTTATGTAGTGCAACTAAGAGGTATATATCTCAGACCAGGCTCCTTTTCAGTTAGTTCAAAAGGAATGGTCAAATGCCTTTGCTTATTATGAAATCGAGGTACCTTTTCAGGCCAAAATTTTCTGAGGTGACTAATGATTTTCTGTGACTAATATGAGACATCTTAAAAAGAAGGCTGCCTGCACTTCATATAAACTAGCATCTTTTGAAAGAGGTTAACTTGGGTTAAGTTATTACCTACTCTTAAAATTCATGGCTTAACATAAATACTGTACGAAGGAGATGGAATACATGGATATACAGAAATATAAAACTATCTGCTGTTGTTCAAGAAATGATGTACTGGTTTTCACTTTTCATCCCAAAGTCATCCTGAAGGACTCGAAATAAAACACCACCACATTTCAGAACCATGGAGTAACCGCAACATGAGGAAAAGAACTGTGGTCTCTGAGTAGACGCATCTGTCCATGGTCCTTCTTCTCTAAATTTAATCTGAGCTCCCCACTTTATTAAACCATATAAAGCCCAGCATGTAATCAACAAAAATCCTACTTGGAGGCCCTATGTCTAAGGCACCATATGAAGCTGAAACTCTTCTAACATTGGTGGGTGCATGCTGAAATTATCAAGGGTACAGTGGAAGGTAGTGAGAAGCGGGACAATCTAGCCCCTCTACTGTGCAAGTCACAGCTGGTCATCACTTTTCAGCCCTTCCTGCTCTGTGGCAATGCACTTGCTTAATCCCGTTAGTAAACTGGTTGCTACCTCTGGTATAACGTTGAAGGATCTCAGGGTCAAATTTGATGATGACAGTGGCAACACACATCATCAAGCAGACAGGCTACAAAAATACCATATTTACCTTTGTCTGCACAAACTTAACCAGAATCTCCTGAACATAAGCATCATGAGACAGTCTTTAATTACTCTTTTGGATATTTTCCATAGAATCACTTCCATTTTCAGTGCTTAGGATGGAATGAGTACAGAAATTAGGGTTTCACAGACAACCATAAGCCTGCTAGTGAGAATTGCTTCAAAGGCTCAGCTACTCTGTATCTCCATTTTCTCCAAAAATAAGCATATCATCATAAATGTATCATCCTAAATAATATTTTATAACCAACAAATGTTTGAAATACTACCCCAAGCTTTTAAAAACCTCAGGTCTTCAGGCATAGACTTGAACACACTTTGGAAACTAGAGATCACAGACAATTTCACTATGTACAGCTTTTAATCAGCAATGCTCCAATTACGTGAGATAGCCAGAGGCTGTGAATTCAGGTCCTGAGGAACCTGAATATGCCCAAAATATGTCAAAGCTTGCACTTATGTAATTCATCGGTATTATTTTTGCCCGAGGTAGCCATGGTAGACTAGAAATAACCTAGATCTGTTTGCTTTAGTTCATTTAGTTTTTATTCATTTACCAGCAGTGAATCCTCATGTATTTTCTTAGGTTTAAGAAGCTTCTACTGAATATAGCTGTCACATCACCTACATCTGCTTATCCAAAGCATAAACAAAAAAAAGTCTAGCGTCAGTCGGAGCATTTTATTATTCCTGTTGTTAGTTTTTAATGTTTCTGTGACCTTTCTTCATGTATGCACCCTAACTTTTCAAATATCACACTGGTGAATGGGTCCCATTACTCTTAAGTACACTACAAAACGATGTGGTGTACGTATTTACCTTACAGCTGATGAAAAAAGTTGGCAAAGCATCACTTCACTCCTGTTCTCATGGCTCTTTACTCTTTTCAAAACACGGGCATATGCTTTCAAAATGACTTGAGGCACTTCAGTGCGACTTTCTAAAGCAGAAAGTCCAGTATTTTCTGAATATCAAATCTCTTTTGGCTCTGCTACCTTTTCTTTGCTGTTAAGTAAATGTTACAGATTTTCTGCCATGACAAAGAAAAGGTGTATTTGTAATCTGAGCATCGCCAAAACAGTAACAGAGCTAGGCAAAACCACTGAAACACAATATAGCCATATCCTAATCCCTTCTCCCCCTTCAGAAGCAGCTCACCCCTCCAAAGACACACTTACTGTGTTGGGCTTCATACTGGGCACCGTGGTGCTGTAATTGCTGGCTACGCCTGTAGCAGCCCTCTCCAGCTTTCAGAGCTTGCTTAAAAAGCTTCTCTGCTTCTACAATTGTTGTTGCTTCCTCTTCAGCCAAGAGAATATAGGCAGTGGCACACCTGCAAAAGAATCAGAGGTATAACCATGAGATTGTTACTTCAAGCAAAAACTACCCCGAAACATGCTGACTAGGAAGAATGTATAAAATACAGAGGTAATGGAGTTTTGTCCATTACCTTTTGATTAATCTTTGTAACCACTCTGACAATGACATAATTTGTTGCTTTTGTAGACTCTATTGCTTCAGCACTTGAATAAACCTACTGAAACCAGGGAACCTGCCCAGAAAGTAAACCACTATCTCACTGTGCGTGATCTCATATCATTAAAACACATTTTAGAGATATAAACTAGTTTTATGCACTGTTGTTTTAACAGAAAACATCTGCACTACTGTAATGGCATGAAAGAAAACAGAAGAACTATAACACTTGTGATAAGCTTTGAATAGACTTCGAATGTAATTGTACAGGCAAAGATTCCACACCCCCCCCACCCCCCCCCCCCGAAAAGAAAGCTGCTTTGGGAATATACATAAAGGTGAAATGCAGGGTGGGAGTCATCTCACTCAGCTTTTCGCTGCCTAGACCTTTTAACCATCTGTTTATTGTGGGATCTCAGACTTCTACGTATCTCACTGAGAAAAAAAAAGATGGATTCACGAACAACAAAAATCCCACAAAATTACATCATATTCCCACATATTATCAACTAAATACTTCAGAAAGTATTTACAAGTCCCTTCCTCCTTGTCTCTATTCAGGACAACCAAGGAACCCAAAAGGCTACTTATTTTGTCTCCATGTCCTATATACAGACATCATATGCTGACCAGAAAGCAACATATTTAACAGTTCACCAAGCCAACACAGCGCCTGATCCAAAGCCCACTGACATCAAGGGGAAGACTCTCATTGTCATTAGTGCCCTAAGGATCTTCTGGGTGGCTAGCATAACATGCAGCTGTGCTTTATTCTTCCCATTATAGGTCTTCCTGTGACAGGCCTGCAAGCATGACTAAAAAATATTGTAGCAAACCCTCTGCCTTAAGCTATCATCAAATAGATTTTTAAAAGACAGAAAATACATGTTAACGTTGTTGTCACTCACTCATTCAATTCCAAAGCTTCATGTGCTGCAGAAATTCGGGCTTGTGGGTTTCTCTCTCTCCAGGCTTTTTGCATTACTGTTCAATAAACAAAGCAGAACAGGGGCATATCAGCCATTATAGCCGTAACAAGGAGGTTCTCCTGCACTACAATAACAAAAAACTTATTGCTCTCAGTCTGACTCGCTACAGACCATTTCAAAAAGCTCAGTGATCATTCAAAAGATACACAACCAACATGAGCTTCTGTCCCAAATACTCAGATTTACTATTTCATTTAATTAAACTTTTTCTTCAGGAAAGTTTGTCTCGGAGTTAGATCATGCCACCTGCACTGCTGCATACAGAGAGGGAAGAGAGGACAGGCAGTATTTTTCTCTTGGTGAGGCAGGCTCCACAGGACACAAAAGAATATGAGGAAAGTTGGATTCTTATTCCAATTCCTACCGTGGTGTTGCTTCATGTGAGGGCTAAACAGTTCATGTGAGGGCTAAACAGAAACACCATCCAAGCTAATCAGACTACCTCAAAATTATCCCACTGGAGTTCCTAAAGGAGGATTCATTTTTCTCCTGCATCAGCAGTAGAGTATATTCTCCTTTGCAATTATGCCCTCAGAATGGAGTGCCCAAATGTCAGGATCTCTACTTTCCTAAGAAACAAAGATTTGTCTCTTTAGACACAAATTCTGATGCTTAAAATCATGGTTGTACATTTTAGCACAACACAATAAAAGCTTAATACAACTAAAGCTGCATATATCAAATTCAGTTCTAAATGTGTTGTTCCCATTTTTTGCAGAGAT